TTACAACTGTTTGTCTTTGTTGCCTGTAGGACAACAAGCTTGCCTTGAAGAGCAGTTGTCGAATCTGGGGGTCAATCTGGTCGGGATGCAGGAATCGCGCTTGAGGAAGCATGACCCGGTGCGCGGCAATCATTTCTTGAGATTTGGGTCTGCTGCCGTCAAGCGGCGAGGTGGCTGCGAACTGTGGGTTGACCTGAATCGGACAGTCGGTTTTGATTCAAACGGTATGCCCATCCGTTGGGACCCGGATGCCTTCAGTGTGTTGTACGAAGATGATCGAATCTTGGCCGTTTGCGGGTGTGCTGGGGCCGTATGCTTCTGTAGCGTCGTCGCGCATGCCAGGACTTCAGTTTCACCGGAAGCTCAAATTCGAGACTTCTGGTGTATAGGCTGAAACATGTGCTCGAAAGGGCGCCTGAACGGTGCGTCAGGTTGCTTTTCCTAGATGCGAATGCGCACTTCGATGAAAGGAAATGAGTCGGCGAGTTCTATTCCCCGCAAAACCTGAACGCCGAACTCTTCCTGCAGCTAGCCGCGCAAACATCCGTTGCTATTTCTGACCTTTGGAATCCGGACGGTTTGCCAATTCGGACCGCTCGGGAGCTCTGTCCATGCCAAAGCTGCGAGGTCAACATGCGTGTAAGCATTCTCCAAGCTTTGCAAATCCATTTGGCATTGATTGGTGAAGGTCTTTCGCTGCAGAGTTCTTCCCAAACCCTCGAAATGCGGCACGTAAGAGATAGCGGGGCGGTCATGTCAACAGGAGGCTCGGGAGTAAGCAACGACCACCAAGTCCTACAACCGGCGACTCGACATGCAGGCTTAGTCGATGCCGTGACAGCGCTTCGCACAGTAGGTCCAAGATCAACATCGGACTGTTCAAGCGTCTGTCGGCACGCTGTGCTCTTCCTGAGATGCATCCAGAGCCTGCTGGGCGACCAATATTCAATCAAGCAAGTGGGACACAAGGACATATCCCCAAGCTTCGACCCAAAGGATTGCATGCCATGCGCCTTGCTTTGATGTGAAGCCAGAGCTGCAGGCCCTGAGAATCCACCCTCACAGACATGGCAACGGCACATGGTTTTACCAACATGCTTCGACTCGGCATCCTGGCACATTTCGCCCCCATGATCAAAGAAGCTGGTGAGAACCCGGGCTTTCTGCAGGGTACGCCCCCGTATGTCATCTCCTGCATCCGCTATTCGCGCAATTGCTTTCCGCAAGATCCTTCTCATATGGTCATTGTGGGAACGGAGATTGGCAAACAACTGCGCGACGGTTTGCCAAGTGATATCAACGGGCAACGGAAACGGCAGCTTTTCAACCAAACCAAGGCGTCCCAAATCACTCACGACGTTGTTCAACCAAGCAGCTCTTCGACGATCATGGTTACGGCATACTGATCCAACCAGAGCGCTATGCTACATGCCTGCCTCACCCTCTGGACGGTCAGAATGTCGGTGGGGGGCATCAACTTGAGCAACACGCATATCTCAGCATCAGTAAGCCCACGGATCGTCAAGTTGAGCACTTCGGAAGGTCCTTTGCGCAAGCTCGGTGTTCAAGACCCACTGTCCAGCTCCATGCAGCATGCTCGCCAACGGTCCTTGACATAGCAGCTTAATCTTTTCCTTCAACCGCAAATGGCGATTAAAGAATAGCTTTTTATGCATTGCTGCTAGCAAAGGCCTCGCAATTGACAACATGTGCCGAATGTCACCAACAACATCGCCAGTAGCACTGACCAGCGATCCTAGATGGACGTAGTGATCGACAAGTCTCAGTTTGACGTTTTTCCGTTTTGCCAGCGGTACCTCAACCAGACCCTGTTGCTCAATCATCCAAGCTTTCCGTATGACGGTCGACCTACTGCAACGCCAACACACAACAGCCTCCGTCTTATTAACATCATAATTCACTGATACCCCTGTGAGGCTCGAGCATCTGTCAACGACGCTCACGGCATGCGAAACTTTCGGGACCAACTGACAAGCTCTCTCGGCTTCAATCGGTACAGCAAGATCGTCGACCCATGCTGCAACGGACGCAGCCTGTTGCTCAGAATTGCCAGGGACTTGCGCAAGGACACACAAACCTTGTGATTGCAACTCACTTTGCAACTGCTCGTGGAAGCCTATCGGCGATCCTGGCATCGTTCCAGTACGTGTTTTGTATATGACGTCTCGTTTGAGATCGAGTTGAAAGAAGGTCCCGCTCAAGCTAGTCTTCAAGAACTGTCTCACACAAGGTGCAACATCCGCCTGCTCAAGCACAGACGGCCCGATCAAGGCCTTGAGCAAATCTTCCGCGGATGTCTTCATCCCCATGCATCATTTCGATGGCTCGAATCAGCAAGCTGGGATGCTGTCTCTCATGTTCCATGCCGGTCGCGAGCTCACGGAAGACAGAGTAAAAAACCTGACGTCCGTTGACAAATATGCCGGCTGCACTCTTATGCAAAAGGGCCATTTGTCGCAAGTGTCCCTGAACAAGATGGGAGGTCGCGGCCATCGGTCCTTTAGGACGTCCACCCAGCTGCGCATTTCCAGCGCACTTGTCGAAAGCACAAACGAGATCCTTCCAAATCGTCGAGCAGACAGCTTTAGCTGGCGCTTCTTGAAGCGCTATCGATCTCCATCCCATCGGATTCCATAATGGTTTGTTGGGCTTCGGAATAGCACAGACGAGCATGCGCAGCCAGTCCTCAGGGAATTCGCATTTCAAGATCGACTTGAGATAAAGCGGAAAGAATGCCATCGCCGCTGGCTGCGCAGCAATGGCGACAATCTCAGGCAGCAGCCCGGAGGGTCCAAGAGCCTTGCCTAATTTCAGCTTTCTGAAGGAATGCGCGAGCGTAGCAGCATTCGGCATAGCATCCCCATCCAAAGGTTCATGAGGTCCTGTTTTGCATGGCGGATCCTTCCGATAGGCCTGGATGCCTTCTCAGCGCACGCAAAGTGATCCCCAAGCATTTCCAGAACTCGCGCTTTATCGGTAACCAGCTTGTTATTCCGATCCCGTAATGGCGGCAATACTTTGGGCGTATCGCCTCCCGGTTTTCATGATAGATGCCATCAAGCGCGCCATAGCACTCGGCCCCTCGGCGCGCGCCTCACTAAAGGCAACACGCGCTCTCTCGGCCTGGCATCTGGCTAGATGTTGTCGAGTAGCGACACGAGCCGATAACAGTCGCGACCAGGCTTGAGCCACACGTTTAGCAAGCCTACACCGCCATGAGCAATCGATCTCGGTCTGTCTGGCGCCTTCACCCCTCACATCTGTCATATGTTTCCAAGACTCGAAGACCGCGTAGAGCCAGTGCCTAGTCTCGTGCCGCCTGAAGTTTTCATGATGTTGCTGGACCAACGCATCAAGCACCTTTTCATCCAAGAAAGCCTGTTTGGACCGAAGTTTGGGCGGTGGAAAGCAACGAGCGCATTCATCAGTGAGGTGCCTTTTCAAAACCTTCCAGTGCACGGACGCATGTGTCTGCATGAAAATATAACTCAACAGCGGTTGTCCCTGTGGGGATTTCATCTTTTTGACATCGAAGCACGGCTTTTTATCATGCAAGCCACCAGCTTCTATGGCGAAACGCAACTCCGCAGCCAGTGGTTCGTGATCGAAGCCGGCGAAATGATCACGAATATGTGCAAATGTGCCAAGCACTTGCCCAGCAGGGCTCGTCCAAACGCGGCACTTCACGGGGTACTGAAGGCTTGTATTTCTGAATCTCCTAGGGTGGGTGATTTTTCTCTCTTGAGTGGCCACGGGCGCCACATTGTCTACCCTAGTCGGTTTAAGATTGCCTGGGCCTCAGAAGTGCTGCGTGCTTAAGATCCGCATTGGAATTTATTTAGCGCCAACTTGGACCAGAGCTTGGAGAAGAAGCGTCCTCGCGCTCAGCAGACTGGTATCAGCAGAAACCCCACCAGAATGCCAATCAAGAAAGACTGCCAATGCGTATCCGAGGCCACGGGCGTTGCAGAAGGCAGTTTCGAGGGGCTCGCGAGAAGGAGAAATGACAGGTGACGGCTGACTAGACGGGAACCGGGCGACCTGGAAAAAAAGTGATAACCTGGACGTGGCTCAAGTCGCCACCCGAGACATCTGAGGCGAAACAACTCACGTCTTTGGTATCATAAAGGGGAGGTTGTTGGGTATTTGAGCACCTGATGAGTTGAGCCAGTCAGGAGAATTCTAGTGTAGAAGTGGAAGCATGCCTTTGCTTTTCTTGAAACGATTCGACAGCAAGACACGGAACATGTCATGCTTACTATTGGAAGGCCACAGAGTTCGCCTTTTTTCAAGAGTTTGATGGACCCCTGTCCTGCCAAGGTCCACGACCAACGGCACAATTGTGAGGATAGCCTCGGTTTTCTGGCGCATTCGGGATCTCAGGGAGCTTCCACCTTTAGCCCAGCTTGCTGGCCGGGAACAGGCGCGTGCCCACGGCGGGTCGGAGTCGTCCCCTTCGTCCCGCCTCGAAAGAGCGCTTGACACTGGCTCACCTACCACCGGCCTCCTGCTTGCCCTGTGCTCTTGACTTTAACAAGCAGCCAGTCTGGTTTCCTTGCAGTGCAGGTCCACCCGCAGTCTGAAGGTATCGAAAAAAAACTGTACTGCGACGGACGTAACCAAATTCGTGAGCCGGCTTCGTCCGCAGTCTGACAGATTGCATCATGCTCCAACGGGAGCTTGCTCCAGGCTTACTGTGGCGCAAGGCCTTGTTCGAGTTGGGGCCGCAACCACATGCAGCCTGGCCTATTTCTCACCCGGTTCGTCTAGCAATTTGCCAAGTGGCAGATCTCGCAACTGCCCCTGGTCTGAGGATTTCTCCATGTGCTGAAGCGGCGGAGCCCCCATATCCTCCTTTGCGCATTAACATCTTTTCGTTCTGCAACGAATGTTGGAGCAATGCTATCGCAAACTGCTTACCCCTCCTCAGCTGCAGTCTGCTGATGCCCGGCAAAGACCTGGGCGTGTCACTCATGGGCCTAACAAAGCTGACCTGGCACCACCTTGCCACTTTTCGATACCTTGCGCGCATGACAGCAAACGTCAGCGAAACCAAGTTTTGTCAGCAAAGAAGCGCTGTCCACATACTCGACATCGCCTGCCAAAGCCGTCACCATCCTCGCAGGTGACTCTACACACTTCTCAAGATGAAGCAATCGAAATCTTGTCATCCTTGTCATCTCGACTCGAGCTAGCTCTGTTATCCCCAAGCAAACTGCTGATGAAGATCCATTCAATCAACAGTCTCGGAGTTTGAGAAAAAAGAGCCAACTACTGTTCTGCTGTAGTATACATCTATCGAATCTAGGCTAGTTGCCGCTGGGAGCTTGTTCACTCCTGGCAAACGGAAGTCTGATTGCTCCACACAAGGCAGAAACTTGGAAACCCTCTTGCAAATAAGTTCAATTGGCCAACGGCAGGCTTTACTTGAAGCTTGTTTGAGATTTTGTCGAGCGTCGAGGGTGGCAGACCTCCAGCCTCAAGGTGCCCAATGTAACGGTAGGCACGTAGCGGGCAGGTGCCTGAAGCCAGATGAATCGACGATTCCCTGAATTGGGGAACATTTTACGGAGCAGACCTGCTTTGCAACATGATCGGGCGTCCATGCAAGGAATGGTGAGCGCTTAGGAGGGCAGCCAGGTGGGAGTTTAGGGAAGGTGTTCCGCAAAACATGAGCAGGCTGAGCTGTGTCTTTTTTGCTTTTTGATGCACAGGCGATGTGCCTCTCCCGGGCTCGAAGTGCTCCAGAACAGCTACCTCAGTGTCATGCAGCCGGAGTAGCTGCTTGGATCAAGTGTTTCGGATGCACACCTGGAATTGCAGCAGCGGATTCTCGTCTTTGCGGTGCCGAAGGTTGCCTCATGCGAGGCGGAGCCTACGTAAAAATCGCCTTTGATTGCGAGTCCAGACAAACAGTGAGGCAACAGCAAGCTTGCGACGGAGAGACGGAGCCAGCAACAAACCGAGATGTCTGCTCGTGGTTACATGTAACGATACATGTAACGTCGTGCCAGGCACATGGACCATTTGGCCCCATCCCCTTGCTACATACCACAGCTGCTTGGGTGCGGTTTGCAGCGGTGACCCCGCAGCGGCATTCGCTCTCTTCGACCAGAGCGAAGATATCCATGCCCTGCATGAAGCAGTCTGGTTCAGAGTTCATGTCGTGGTGTGGCTGAGAGATACAGTACACAAAGCAGCGCATATAGACAATATAAATAAATAAATATATATATATATATATAATATGTATGTATGTATGTATGTATGTAGGTAGGTAGGTAGGCAGGTAGGTATACATGTACACATACATAGGATAGCACCCCACCCCGGCCCACTCTTGCAAGACCTAAACACGTTTTGCATGCCATTTACCACGAGCGAAATGTCGAGGTAGGTCATTGGGGCATGTCCATTGGTATATGTGTGTGTGTGTATATGTACATATATGTATGTATGTATATAAATAAATAAATCTATATATATATATAATAATTGGAGACCCCTTTTTCCATGATGCAACCAAACCTTGTTGCCAACCTTTTGCATACAATAGATATCATGTCTCCAAACGAGGTCCAAAATCAATCTGTGTTTATGCTGGTTTCTGCACTTCACATATACTGACCTCTACTTCTTGTGTTTGCTGGGGCTAAACCACCCCGCACCCATGCCAGAATCTGGTTCTGCATCCGCGCTAATTGTAAAACAAATTTGAGCCCTTCTCAAATACGACAGACATAGGAAATCTATATCATTATGCGCAATCGGTGTTACTTTCCATCACAGAAACACAAAAAAGCTCCTGTTCGGTCGGACTAGTGCGTTTCCCTGAAGCTTACCAAAGCAAGTTGCATTGAAGCCTGAGCAAGCGCACTCCATCTTTTGTTGCCAGTGGCGGAAAGGCGAAAAGTCCGGAGTCGGTGGCACACTCGGAAACGGACAAAAAGCCGTCGAAGACCTGTTTCCGGAGAAGGGGCGGTCGGACCGGCCCCAGGAAAAGAAAACATGTGAAACGGAAGTAGAGTGCAACACGGACAGCGGAACTTGGCAGAGCACCAATTCGGAAAATCGGAAAATCCAACGGAAACGCGCAGGCTCGGTCGGAGAGACGACACGAGGCACGGGAAGGGGAACAAGACTGGACCCAGATGCGACGTGCCTCGGATCAGAACATAGCAAAGAAAGGGCGTGCCAGAGACTAAAACGGAAAAGCTGACCTTCGCGGACGGATAGCAACGAGGACCGGATAGAATCGGAGCCACATGCAAAAACGCGCAGAGATGGGATAGAAATGGCTGAAGCTCGGAATCGGGGAGGGGGTCATCTTCAGACCCAGAAAGTAGTCGGGAGGCCACAATTTGCGCAAGGGACCCAGAATGTCCGACAGGTTCGGGGAAAACGGCATGCAGAGCTGCAAAGGCCAGCACCGTCCTCAACTCGAGATGAGGTGCGCTGCCAGCAAGGTTCCTGCGGCAAGAGCGAAGTCCAGGACCGCACGGAGTGGGAAGCAGCGCCGTCACCCAAAAACGAAGCAGCCAATTCCGCGAGCTTGCATGCAAGCTAGTCGGGATAGCGGGCAGTGTGGCGGGTAAAAAAAAGCCCCGTCAGAGCTGCGACGACCGGAGATGGAGGAATGAAACCCCAGCAACCGTGCCAGCTCATCGGACCGTGCAGCCGACAGGTCAGGGCGACCACACAAGTGAGAAAGGCGGACGTGTTAAAGTTCGGGGTTCCCTAAAAACTCACGCTCAGACACAAGGCTCTCCACTTTTCCTTGTGTGGCGCACGGTCGTGTCCGTTCCTTGAGCCTACGTGTTTCGGGCATCAAAGGTCGTTCCACACAGCAAGTACGGTGTTCCTACACTGCGGTAATGTTTAACACCCCGCCTTCGAAATTGGGAATGACTGTTCCAGTCAGAGCTGTTTTCGACACTCCTTTCCCTTTAGAAAACAAACTGCACAAACGCTGCTGTTCCTCTGTACTGTCGCAGACATGTGACTGTCCACTAGCGTTCCTCTCCAAGGTCGCTACTACTGTACACAAAGGTTCCTTTACACAACGACAAAACAAAAAGTAAGGTTTCTTGGATCGTCGTCCTTTGCCACGCAAAACAGACTTGAAAGTGCTTTTGAGAAGGTCGGACGGATACGCCATCTTGTTCCTTCAGCTTTCAGCTTTCAGCTGCTTTGAAAAAGGGCTGCACACTCACAGGTCCTTGGGCTTTACAGCTTCAGAGCTTTCCTTTGCTTCTTCGCTTTTCTTTGCTCCTCTTCTTTGCTTTGCTTCTTTGCTTCTCTTTCCTTCCTTTGCTTCTTTGGTCCAAGACCTTTGATCCTATCCTCACTTTTGCTCTCTTGCTGCTGCGGGTCAACACTGAAAGTGTGGGTCCACGCTGCTACTGCTGTCTGCTTCCTGTCCTTCTTGTTGCTGCGTAAAGAGGTGGTACTCAGGTGAGGAAGGAGTTCCTCCTTATCCCCTTTATGCGGGTGCTTGATGAACTTTCGCAGACGCTTCATGATCTGATCTTTTGCTGTCTTCACACCGTTATGCTTAAGCAGGCTCTGGTTCGAATCCCGAGTGCGCTGGGAGTAACTCCTCAGAACAAAGCGCAGCTGGTATAGCATGTGAGACTCAAGGGCGGAGAGGCCTGCTTCTGTGAGTCCGATGACATGCAGTCCATAGAGGGCAGAAGCCCAAGAAGTGATGCGCCATATAGACAAACGGCGTTTCTCGGTAATGGCATGGCTGTTACGAACTGCATGTACTACTTCCTTCATGACGGCCTTGCTGGCTTTCAGGCGATGCTTTAACGACTGCATCTCGTACTCATGATAGGAGATGATGATCCCCAAATAGGGGACCTGCGTCTTGAGTGCGATTAGCCTGCCTGATGGTAGCTGATGTCTCCTCTTCCTTTGTCTTTCCTTTTCCTTTCTTTCCTTTGCCTTTGACGTGCCTTCTCTCCTGTGCTAGGCACGTGTCTTTGCCTTTGCTGTCTCTGCCTTCCTGTTTGTACCAACGTCGTTCCTGAAGGTCAAAGAAGTGCCAACTCATGTTCACGCTGTTCCACTTCCACTGGTAGTCATTGCCGTCGAACGGGTAGACCGCGTAAAAGTTCCTGTCCGTTTCCTCTTCAAACTTTGGCGCTCCTCTGACGAAACCGTCTGCGTTCACCGGTCCTTTGGCTGTGGTTTCCGGGTCGTCGGTGCTGCTGCTGGCCTTTTCCTTGTTCTCCTTTTTCTTTTCCTTTGCCTTGTCTTCTCCTCTTGTGCTTCCTGTCTCGCTCCTCACTTCTGCTTTCAGCTCGGCAAGCTGCTTCTCGAGGTCCTTGATCCTGTCCTTTTCCTTGCTTCCTGTGACTTGGTCGAACGCTTCGGCCATTGCCTGGTTGACTTCCTTCTCCTTTTGCTTCTCTGCTTCGGCTGCGGCTGCTTCCTTCCTTTTCCTTTCCTCTGCTGCTGCGGCTGCTTTTTTCTGCTTCTCTTCTGCTGCGGCTACTGCTTCCTGTGCTGCCTTTGCTGCTGCTGCTTCTTCTTCCTCCTTCTTTGCTGCTTCCTCTGCTGCTCTCTCAAGCGTCTC